CAAATGTCATGACGTTCTGGTCGTGCTTGAGTTTACGACCTATACTGTTGTGCTTCCTGATGCGATTACACCGTGCCTACTTCGATTGACCTCAGTTACACACGGCGTGACCCATGAGAATGTTGTAAAGCTTACAGATTATAATGTACCATAAGTTTGTTCGCGCAGAACTGACGAATCCTCGAACTTTAGGTATATTTCAGTGGACATAAGCGCACCACGGCCTCCTTGCTTGACACCGTCGTCGTCAGCGTCTGCTGTCACGATTATGTCTGATTTTCTGGTCATAGGGCACACCTGGACCGTAAGACCTGCGAAAGTGGATGTGGAAATAATCACTTGAGCCGGCTGCAGTCGATCGCCCGAAAATTCGAACCGGCCGGCTTTCAGGTTGCTGCAAACGTGTACTTTGTTTGCACCATATTTCACGGCAATGAGATTTCGGTACGGTCTCAAGCAACGCACCGGATCAAATTTCTCGTGCCAAGTCGACGATTTCTTGTGCTTTTCACAGATGTGCCTTTTTCTGCTTCGATCACCGTTGAATTCCGTAGGCCGGCGGCGTCGAACGGCGATCATTCGAAAATCATTTTGAACAGGGTCAGTTTCGCCTGAAGATTTAAGGCTCATGACGCAGAACATGTGATAGTACGCTTGGCGTTTTGATGAACCTCGCTCAGCCGAAGCTTAACTGTATAAAATGAAATAATAAGAGAAGAGCATATAGTCAGTGAGTCAGTTAAGTTTAGTTACGTGAATCGTGAGGTACGCATATTGCCAAAACCTGGATAAAGAGGATCCCTATGAGGCTGCCCAGAGGCTGGTGTGATATACCTGTTCTTCTTTCTTGGGAACCATCAAATATTAGACAACGGGCCGTACGACTGAACGCCAGTACGTCTCAGTCCAGCGTCTGTGAGTAGAGTACATAGATCTTCGAAGAGTTCGAAACATATGTATAGCCGACGACGAGTTGGTTGGAACACAGCTGCTCAGGGCTGCTGTTCTCTATCCCTCAAGCAGCTATTTAGGGTGCACCTAAACTCCTCACCGCCGCAGATACGGAGTCAGGGTTAAGTATTTTCAAGAAGCTCCGATGCGAGCCAGTTGTTTCCTCTTGAGTGTGATGTGGTTGTACAGTGTGTAGGAGTTAAGAGTTCGCTTTCCAACCCAAATTGCGGGGGTGCCGAATGCGCTTTCCGCGGTGGACAGTGTTTGTCCTTAAAACGAATTTTTTTGAGCAAGGAATTCACCACACACTGCTTCCTACCGGCCGTACTTGCGATCGACTCAGAACTGAAAGGTCGTAGATTTTAGCCGCGGTCGGGATCACTCTCCTTTCTTCCTTCTTAGATTGATAAATGAGTGCTACCATGGTACATGAGTGGGAAAGAAACAGGAGTATATAGACTATGCTTGTCACATCTCCTACGGTGGATTGTGCCTTTGAAAGTTTGGTACTCCTGGCTTACGACATGGAAATGAAAATCATCGCCCCCCAACAATAACTTCATTAACACAAGGTGCCAGAAGTACCTGTAAGTGTAACGAAGAAGATATTTCAGCGGTTGCAAACTTTCCTTCCTTATGAGGTAGACCTGTATACCATAGAGGAAGAGCAGTATGTAGTTGAAGGCGCTCTGTTAGACATCCTCGATATACGGTCATACCCAAACAAAGTCGGTAGATATGTTTCTGGAAATGAGGGCTATATATATCCGAATCAGTTTTATGAGGG